GGTCTCCTTCAAAGTAGAGCATTAAAAGACATCGGAAATCCAGTAGGTGAGTAACACAACCACAATAGTTCAAGGGTAGCAAAAGAAAGACTGTAAAATACAGTGAGCTTAAAGCAACGAAGGGACTTCAGGGATACTGGAATAAAGTGGCAGTCGTGCTGCTGGTGAAACTGAATCTAAATTGCCCCATTTAAAAAAAAAAAAAAACTTCATCTGTGTGTCTAGTGTAGTCAAAAATGAGATTAAGTATTCCAAAGAGATATGCAATGTGGATGTAAAATATAGCTGATGGGATAAAAGTGGAAAAACTAATATGGTAAGTGCACGATCAGCAAATCGCTCATTTATATTCCTGAGATGAAGCTGTGTCCAAACAACATTTCAATCACAGCAACACGCACATAAACCATCAAAACAATAACGACTCTCCTTCTGCAGTTACAGCTTTCTGTCATTTTTTTCCACTTTACTAGGTCAGCATGTCAATAAAATCTCTCTTTTTTTTTTATCCCACTCAGTTGATGAAATTGCCGGTCATTCTGGTATCTAATGAAGTTTACACATATTAATATTAACTTTCCACCTCTCCGCAGGGCATCTACAGCTGCTTCAATGGGGTAGAGTCCGCTGACCACAACGGGAGCATACAGAGTCCAGACGTCACTTCTAACTATACACAAGCCAATATGCTAAAGATGCTTAAAACAGCCAAGGACATGGTGTCCTCTGCAAGAGTGGAGAACTCTTTGGATAATGCCACCAAAACAATAGAGAACTGGAGCAGGCGGGGGGCCGACAATGTGCGAGCTGCCCTGCCACCCAGAGTTACCACCACAGACATGACTCACGGACGCCTGCCCTACATCTCAAGCATCACAGACAACCATTCTCCGTACCCTCAGAGGGCCATTACACCCACCTTTCCCATTCATTATGGGGATTCTTCATCCCAAACCCTCCTGGATAAGCCCCGGGTGGTAACTCGACCAACCCCACTCCGGTACACGCTGCCCGCCCGCAGCAGTCAGCACATCTTAGAGAGGACTCTGCCCATCTCCAGTCTCAGCAGCCCTCACATCGCCATAAGGGATCCTTCTCCTGCCGGACCGTCAAACCCCCATCCCAGCAGCAGGCTGTATGTGGAGAACCAAGCCCGTCACCCCATCTCTCCTTTTGCCACTTACAGGGACTTCCAGATGCCAGATATCTACATGGAACACAGAGCACCCCTGAGGAGGAAGTTCAGCTACCCCCCTGACTGTGTGAGTCGCAGGAGGAGGTCCCATAGCTATGTGTTTGATGCTGCAGACCCGAGAGTAAGAGGTGATTACGATGGACCTCAAACCTGCCTCGCCGAGCTGAGAGCAAATCACCTCCTAAGCAACCACGCCTCCAATGCAGCTGCCATGCCTTGCACCGCAGGACACTACCCTAGTGGCAGCACCAGCTGCAACTCCTGCATGAAGTCCTACCTGGAACCCGACATGGACGACATACCACTCCTCGGAAAGGACAAGCTGAACCGCCGCGCCTCATTCCTCAAAGCCACATGGGGCAATGACAGGATCCATCAGGTAGATGAAACAAAGCCTTCGACATCCACATCTCCCCCGACCAGAGGAGACATGCCTGACCTGTTTCCACGGGTGGTAGTGGCTAACCCCAAACCCCACAAGCTATATGGCAGTCTGGGGCACAACCTGTCCTGCTACCCTTTGGCTGCTGAGCCAGCCTACTTGGACCCAGCCCACATGGGCTCCTACCCCTACAAGCAAAAGCTCAAGTACTCCGAGTCCACCCGGCTGCCCTCTTACAGGGAAGCCATTCTGCAGAACGCAGCCGCCCTGCGCCGTTCTTCCTCCACAGTGGTGCACAGACACTATTCCACCTACCTGAACTCGTACACAGACTTACCCGTGTACGTGGGGCCACTGGCTCAGGGACCGTCCCAGTTCTACAACAGTTCCAAGGACATGTGCCACTTGTTTCCCTGTACAAGCCACTGCCCAGACAATGCAGCAATGCTGCCTCGTATGAGTGACAGGCAGATGGTTTACCACAACAATATGTTTGGGGCCTACGATGGCACAGGAAAGAGGGAAGACCCAGGCTCTGGGCCTAGAGACCGGAGGCAGGTGTTGGTTGCGCGAAGAGTCAACAGTCCCTATGTGCCAAAGCCCTGGGGTAGGGTTTCAAGCCTGGAGTCTGAGGTCTGAACCACCATCCTTAACAGTCCTCCATTAGGCTCTGTGACTGAGCCCCAAGGAATGCCTGGAGGTTCTCCCCTCAGCCTCTGGTTAAAGCAAAAATAAAACTCTACACCAACAGTGTATTTGAGAGCATTGACTCTCAATTATCAGTGCAATAATATCTTGGGCAGTGATATGTAAAAGGAGAAGACACTCAAAAACAAGTTACTGCTGGGACTTTATAAGCCAAACTGAAATACAAATTTTAAAAAAGGCAATGTTGAAAAGTATTTAATACATAAGAATTTAACCCGTTGATTGTTATTTAAACGATTTTTAAATGCTGTGTTGCTATGTGAACGAATACTGGGAGACAATATACTGTAGCCTCTCGATCTGATTACAACTTGTGATTTTCTGCTCTCATTTCCTACAAATTCACTTCAGTTTCCCACCATTTCGATTGAGTGATAAATTATCGATATAATTTTGTGATCAAACCACTGACATGTCTTCCGAAAATTTCTAAGTCCACGACCTTGGGCGCACCGTTGTTCTGAGACTTTCTGCTCCACTGGTCATTAATGTAATTTGACTGAGATTTTAAAAAGGGAAAACCATATAAAGTATCATGTATTTCCATTGTCACACTACCCTTTAATAAAGAACAAGGCCATCAAGGGTCTTTTGGGATCATCCTCTGTCCTCTTCATCTGTGTCCTCTCATATTCAAAGGACATAGAAAGAAAGTGGCTCTCTCATTTAAACTTGAGTTGTATTATGCACACAGTCCATCGAATCATACAGAAAGAATAAATACAGTATAGTGGAACCATTTTTCAGTGAAGTAGCCTAGGGTCTGCTATTCCACAGATCACTTATAATCTACAGACATTTAAACAAGACTTGGTCAAATCAAACAAGCGGTTTTTCCTAAATGACCCTGAAGATCAGTACATATGGTAACTAATACAGAAAGACAAGGAAATTATTTCACCTGGGAAAAGAAAAGAGGGATGTTTATCCATTTACAACAACAAAATCTGTATTTTTATGTTGTCGCTGAAAAGTCTGAATTCCCAAAGGAGCAACAGAGGGTTCAAAGAGTTGCAGAGCTTAAGCCGAATCTCATATTTTCTAATGTTCAGTCAATGTTTTAGTAGATAAAACAACTGATTCACATTCACATATCAGTCAACATTGTTGTTATTATTGTTCAAATGATAAAATCCCTACAAAAAAATATTGCTGTACAAGAGGTACAGCCCTGACAACTGCCCAAAGCAGAGTTAACTTCACTTCCATACCTGTCCTGACTTGATCTTAGATGTGTTTAAATATTAACTGCAGGCTCAAAAGCCATGGCGTTTTGGTTTCAGCTACAGTAACATGTAAAAAGATGTAAAATGATTAAGTTGCAAACAACAGAATATCCCTTCACACAGCTCACAGCATCCGTCTGGGTAACAAACCATAAGATCAACACTCATTCACACAACAGTCGTGTGCAAACAGCTCAGTCAGGGTGCTGCTGTTGTATCTGGCTGCCAATCTCTAAACACAGAGAGCTGCCCCTGCAGCCGCAGAGAAAGGCCGCACTCGAAATAAAACGAAAAGCAAAGGCAGTATAAAAATCAGAAGCACTGTAAGTAAGAGGGAAATGAGGCGTTTGAGCTGAGATGGTAAATATTACCACATTTTTACAAAACGAGAGTAGGAATTTGTCTGCGGAGATGTCAATCCAAATAATCCATTGGTTGATTAGGACAGATCTATGTCTATGCTAATATTTAATGGGTTAATTCACCAATATTTAATCATAAGCTGCACATCTCCACAAACTGTCATGAAATTTGGCCTGGTAGCTTTTCCTGCGAACTGACACAACAAAAAATAACCTGACTGATGGCTCAAATAACCTGTGTTCACACTCCATGTTGTTCACAAAGCACCAACTGCATGTGCCAAGCAAAAAACAAAGGGAAATGACTGCAGCTCAGCCAGCAGAATAAAGTTTACAAAGAGTTAAAACAAACACCGCACACAGCAGTATGAACGCTCAAAGCTTCAGCCAACAGATACCAGAACAATCAGCCAGGAGCAGATCTGCAGAGAGCAACGAAAACAGCCAGCAGCGTCAGCAGGCGCACTTCAGAACAGCAATTAAACAGAGTCCCGGCAGAAACTCACCTGTTAGCAGAGGCAGTAAACATTTATCGTGCCGAAGGTTCCCATACTCAAAGCAGCAATGAATATTTCTGATATTTACATGCCTAAAGCCAAATTACAGCATGCAACCATCACCGGCTTATCCAGAAGCAAAATAACACAGAAGACAGGCAAACTGTGTCCCATGTTCAATGCTACACATTCTCCACGTGATTCTGCTAAAGAAGTCAGAATGTGTCTTTATTTAACCTCCTAGGACCTGGCGTCCACATATGTGGGCATCACATTTTGGGTTATTTAGACCAAAATACTCAATTTTGCTCTACAAGGGCCTGATATCCACTTACGAGGACATTATGCTGCTACTGTTCTATCAAAATTTTAATCAAATATCCTCATAAGTGGTTCTCATTTTTCTCAGAAACAAAAATTAGGCAAATTTTTTTTAGTAATTCTTTGTTTTTACATTCATCAGGTCCCAATCAGCCCAAATATCAAAGAGAAATTAAAAATGCATGCCGTGGAAGAGTTCGGGTCTTAGGAGGTTAAGATTTGATCTGTGTGTTTGTTTCTATGAGGCATTCGTTTTCATTAAATAACAACTCTGAGAAGTATGGAACTAAGACACAAATGGACATTTACAGTAAACATGATAGCCGGCCTGATCTGGCTGATGTTCATCTGGGTGTCAGCTGTCAGTCTTCTCTTCCACCCTGCACAGACAGGAAGTAAAAGAATTGCAAATAAAGAAAATGAAAAAGAGAAGAAACTGACAGTTGCATACCTGAAAACACATAAAAATGATGAGAAAAGAAATTAAAAAAAATGCAGGATTGAAAATAAATACATGACATCTGGTCCATAACACTTCTCCGTCCTCAAGCTCAGAACTTACTATGCATTAGCAGCAGGCATCATGTATAAGAAACAGTAATCCAATAAAAATACTGTAAATAGGTAAAAACGGCAGTATTAGAATAAAAGCAAAAAGGTAAAATGAAAAAACAAAACAAAAACAGGAAGCTGGCATCTTGTTTATGTTAACATGTTCTGAACTTCATTAATATTATTTGACTTCATATGTGACTTGAAAGCAGAGAAATTAGAAGCTCTTTAAACTAAGAACAGGCAGTAAAGACTCTCACACTGAGCTGAAATTAAACTAGTGCAAATACATTATTACTGTATGTATTTATGGACCAGTCTTTCCTTATTTCAGTGACAGATACAACCCCAGCAAATTTCTATTGGATGAACTTCTTTCTTTATTATTTATAGGGTGAGCATATTTTGACTTCCAAAAAAGAGGACACTTGGCCCAATCATGAAGAACTTTAATAATACTGTTTGTTTATAAAAACATTTTTAACATATTTAAACTATGCCTTCTCCGTGTGGTTAATGAATGGCGAAATTCAAATGTCATATAGGCTTTTACAAGTCAACAAGCACAAAACGTTGGCCACCCTATTATTTATTTATTTATTGGAAGAAATCATTTAGCCTGACTGTTAGCTAGCAAGCTCGGCTCTTAGAGCTAATCAATTACGCTAGCCGAGATCACCTGTGCCCGACAGAGTTACACTGACCGCTGGAGGACTACTGTCACATGAAAATTACAAACAACACTCCGTTTAACAGCAGAAATAATCTCATTTAAAGGATTTATACGAGTTTAACACAGACGAACGTACCGAAGCAAACAGGAGGAGAAACCGCGGTCCAAGTCTGGAGACACCAGCAGAGGGCGCTGCTCCTACTGATAGAAAACAGTGAAAACTACGTTAAAAATCCAAAATTATTTAATATATTATTAGGAAAAAATAATAATAATAAAACATTTAATAGTTAATAGAATCGGGCTTGAATATATGGCAGTGAATAAACCCATTTAGGGGTCATCTACCTCCATCTCACCCTATCCTATACTCTGTCACGCCCATCATGTCCACTCTCCCTCCTCTGCGCATGTCCAAACCACACCTGTGTATCCTGAGCTGCCTCTCTGCTCCACTTATTTCTCACTCAACACCTCCAGCTCAGCCTCCTGGCTTTTTTCAGTTTAAACCATGCACCATCACAGGTCTCACTACCATCTAATAAACCTTCCCTTTCACTCTCGCTGCTTTGCTTCTGTCACAAATCACCCTGACTCTCATCTCCACCCACTCCACCCCGTCTGCATGCTCTTCTTCACCTCTCTTGTGCGCTGGCGTGTTTGTGGACCACAGGTATTTAAACTCATCCACCTTCACCACTTGCCCTCCTTGCATGTTCACCTTTCCACCTGTCTTCCTCTCATTCACACACGTATTCTGTCTCACTTCGACTGACTTTCATTCCTCTTCTCTCCAGTGCATACCTCCACCTATCCAGGCTCCCCTCCACCTGCTCCCTACTCTTGCTACAGAACACAGTGTTGTCTGTGAACAGCATAGTCAATTTAGACTCCTGCCTGAGTAAAAAGTATTAATTTATAAGTGGAATCAAGTAGCTAAATTAACCTTTGCTCTATAAGTCTGAACAATAAAGTATTTTATAATTTTCTTCTTGTTTTGCTTTTATTCATTTTGTAGTAACAAGCATACAAGAGATACAGAGAACACAAAAAATTGTTTTACTGCTTTCTCCTGTCTTGTAACAATTTTATTTGACTATAAGGTTTAAGCATATTCTTGATATTTTTTCTTCTTTCTCCTTTTATGTCACAACTTGTTGAAAACAGATCTATAAAAGCAGAGCACCCAATAAAATGAGATTGTTACTGAGGTATATTATACAGCTGGTATAATATAAAAGCATAAAATTATTTTAATGAATAATGAGTCCAGTCATCTGTTCATAGAAAGCCAGTTAGACACAAATATATTCATCCATGGGAATATTACCAATGGAGTGAAGTGAACACAAAGGGAAAGGGGGGGTCGGACCTCTTATATTGAAAAAAGAAATTGTTCTAAATGTAGTTTTTGATTTGTCAGACACACATATGTGAATTATTGGTTTAAAAAGTGTTAGTCAAAATCAAACACTGAGTAATGCAAAGCTGAGTTTTACTACATGTGACACAGAGCAAAATGCACAAATAAATATGTTTCTGGAATGTCTCTATTTCCTTTTGATGGAGGAACTGGACATCAGCTCTGTATTAAATTTCATTTTTCTGCTTATGCTTCGCTTTGAAAAAGCATTAGTTTGAAAAATCACCTTATTTCGCACCAGCTGACAGCATCACATATATCCTGTATCAGCTTATTTCAGCTTTAATTGAAGCGATGTTTACACTGAGCGTTCACAGCCAAGAGTCCTATGTTTTTCAGGATGTATCATCCATCAAATGGACATATCAGAGATATACTGTGCATCAGTTACTGCAAATCTTTCCAACTTTTCACAAGAATTTGAAATAAAGTTGGATGGGCCAGGGCACTGTCTGTCTGCGGGGAGAGCTGCCGCACTGTGTGGGGCATTAAAACAAAATTTTCCAAATCTGCAGGAAAATACTGCAAAAAAGAAGTTTGATTTGCTGGCAAACACACTTTAAAAGCCTTCAGACAAACTTTATTTTCACCCTGACATTATTTCAGTGTTTACACCAATTGCTGCGCGGGGCTGAAAGCCACACTCAGTTCTTAATCCTATCCAAACACAAGCTTTATCACAAAGCCAAACATAAAAGCCTAACACTACACTATGTCCCACTGAGTGTCTTTCTGATACTGTTTGAAATATTACAGCTCACAGTGCTTGATTTAACATATGTGCCACGTCAGCACATTGTAAAGGAGTCCGCTGGCCCTAATCGCTCTGATTTACTCAAACGTAGAAAGAAAAAGTCAAAGCCATGAGTGCAGTCTGTGGACCATATTGATGCAAAATTCATATCTCTGCGTCTCATGCCTCGGGCTCTCGTGTGTTTTCATCTTGGCTCCAAGACAAACAGCGATATAATGGTGCAGCGATGAGGCGTTTATGTATTCTGCACCGCTCTCTGAGACCTGCGGAATTGATGTGAGGGCTGGCTGATTGCAGTGCAGTTGATAAATGATTCTACACATGCACGTAAAATATGACCAGCAATTCGCTTTGTCCAGAATATCCACTCACGTGCGCTGTAGCAGTCCTGACCCGCGAGCCACTGAAGATGGTGAAAACTATTTTAAAACAGCAACGCTGTTTTCAGAGTTACCACCATGGAAGAGAACACTATCATCATGACTGATTACTCACATTAGCAGTCAAGTGTGAAACATTTACACAAGTGACAAGAATACATTATATTAATAAATACAATCATATAGTTAACATGACAAAAACAGTTTCACTGCAAGCTTGTCAAATGAAAAAGACTTGAAATGAGTTATGCTAAAAAAAACAAACAAACACTAAACAACAAAAACCTGTGTTTGAACTAAATATCTGTGCTGAAACAAAGACTCAGGTGTTCAGGCCACAAAATAATCATCCACATACATTATTCATGGACTTTGACATAATTCAGCACAGTGTGTGCCGTGTTCCACTTCAACTGTCCAATGTGTGACCCTTATCAGTATGGCCCTCTGCTGCCCATCCTCCACAGTCCAGACAATGTATGTTAGATTCATTTATGTTGGATTAACGAGTAATTCTAAATTGACAGTAGGGGTGGGGGGAAAAAATCGATACTGTGTAGTATCTGATATTTTGTTTGCTAATAATGTATCGATACAGGGACAGCAGAAATCGATATTTTGTTACAAAAAAAGTTTTTGTGGACTGGAACATGCTCTGACTTCAGAGCATGTTGATCCTTTTTCTGAGCAAGAATCCTGACACTGTCCAAATGTGTTTAACTTTTTTTATGGCAGCAATAAACATGACAGTTTACTTATTTTAATTTAAGACTGGCATCACACCTGTGGTCTACCCTGCCATTCATCCTGCGACAGCGGCAATGGGCTCCAGTCCTTCGTTTACAAAGGTGGTACACATCACACATGGATTTCAGGACCAAAGGTGTCATGATCTGAGTGTCTGGTGTTTTTCGGTGTGGGTCCTGTGGTTTCCTGTGTTCGCCCAGCAGAGGGGCTTTTAAGGCCAGCTCAGTCCTCCAGTCTTTGACAGTCTATCAGCTACCTCACAGTGGTAACTACGCCTCTCGTGTCTCTTGCCTCGTACTTACCCTTGTCTCTTTGTGTCCCCAGTTCTCTCGCCTCTGATTAGGCTCACCTGCAGTGCAATCTCCTGGCCACTATTGATAAAATTCACCAAGCCTGCTTACAAACTCATTCCTGGAGAAGGCAACCACTCACCTGCCGGCCCTCCTTCCCAACATCACTCCTGGATTTCCTTTCAAACACCCCGCCATTCAGGCAGACGCTCACTGCGCCACCCTCCCTGAAGCCTCTCGCACATTTTCCAGAGGATGAATCCCCGTCCCAAAGGTGAGATCAGACCTCTCATCGAGTGAAACCGCTAAATGTCAACTGCTTCTCCACAGAATCCAATAAAGTCGCCGTTCTCTGAGAATCTTCCAGCAGCTTCTAAATCAGGTGCATTTCAGCTCAAAGACAGCAAGCCGATTAAGCGCACTGATTAATTCACAGCCTTTAATTGTGCATAATTAGAGAAGAATTAAAGAGAATTAATTTGTGTGCTCTGGGCCTGTTTATCCTCTGAAAATCTTTGAGCAGAAAATTCTGTTTATTCGTGGTTCCTAGAGTTCCCTGCAGAGTGCACCAGGCTTTCTGAATTTTCAGTGAGTAATCAGTTTGCAGAGCCACAGAAATCATTCACAGTAATGAAAACTAGTGTTCACAGTACAGAAATAAAAGAAATGGGATTTTAAGGAGGTAACAGTTAGATCAATTACACTTAGAAACGACAATCTTTGAGAGCAATCGATCTGTGGCTCTGGAGCAGAAGAGAACTGTGTCAGAACTTCACCTGACAGACAGGCAGCCTCGTGTTGTGTGATTAGGACGTGCAGTATAGTAATAAGCTGCAGGATCCCCTGATTTCTATTCCTCATTTTCAGCAGATATCCCCATAATGTGTTTCCTGCGTATCCAAAGAAAAGCTTTGATTATATTTTAAAGTGGTTTCTGGGTTAAACGCTCTGCATAGCTGCGTCTCAGCATGCCGTGCTCACTAATGGGAGCTGTTCACTGATATCACTGACTGATGAGTGCTTTTCACTGTGGCTCGGTATCATATAGAAACATGACTTCTGATTGGACAAAGACAGATTAATGCCATAAGCACTTAATAAGTGTGAGAATCGAGTCTCGGCTGAATAAACTCATTCGGTGGAACTTTAATGTAAATCTCTACAGGCACGTATTTGAACTGGCCAGCATTCATTCAGCTGAGCCGGTAATTACTGAGTAATTCTGTGATCTGTGCTTTAATTGGTGACAAATTCATTGCCTCTCACTCCCATTTAAAATGTATGAACTCATAGAAGGTGGGTGTACAAGGATGAGCCATGCAAGACCATTTATTTCCCAATTTTTATCACATAAATACTGGACAAGATTACATCTAGTGTCAGGGGATTGTTTATGAATACGATTTCACTCTTGATTCCCTCTGCATATTGGAAATATTGAAATTAGACAGTCACAGGTACATCTGAGCTGCTGATGTGCATCCACAGTTAGAGAAAAGTTGACTAAAGGCCTCAGGCACTGTGCTGATGTCCTATCACCGAGCAATTAATTTCACACTGTGACTCCATTTGGTTATTTGCATGAAGGATGAACCAAATAAAGGTGCAAAATATTTTATATTTTTCATTTAAAACATTGAACAAATAACAAAATGTATTAGCAGACTCCGACGGCATGACAGGCAAAGACATCTACGTATTGAAATAATAAATGTATCTTAGGTTTGCATGCTAACCAGCTAGCTCTGTCCTCTTTTATAGATATAATGAGTCACTGAAGCGTCCCGTCTGCCTGCAATCCAACAGGGGGAAAGGATCG